CGCTGAGATGCTTACAACGCTGCTGGATCCGAAGACTTTCTACCCACTGGCCTGGGATCATCTTGCATACGGCATCATTGCATGTGTTTCCTGAGTCTGAAGAGGATTTTATAGACTGGTGTTGGACATATGGGCTAATATCGGACTTATGGGCTTGGACTGGACTGGGTTGGGGTGCTTTCTTAATGTACAATTGTGCTTTATATAAAATTCTTATACACATACAAGTTTCTATGTATTTTTTTCTCTAGTCTACCCAGACTAACACACTAGGTCATATGGTGGTCGTTCTACGTCTATGTCTCAGAAAGCACCAAACTGTGTTCCACATGGCTGGATCATGACTTACCATGATCTTTTATCATCATTATTTCTGGTCAGCCTTCCAAATCGGCAGAACTGTGGCTTGTACTAAGAATGATGTCCTTTTCTGACAGGGCGTTCCGTTTTTCCTTTTAAGCCTGGTGTAAATCGTCTTGTGGAATGTTAGCCTCCGGGGAGTACTTTCACTCGTGTGGATGTTGACGATCAGCTTTACCCTTCTCTAGGCCTTCCTTGCTATAACGTTTTCACACATTGCAGAATTTCAGGGCCGGAACACACGGACTCTGCTAGGAGCGGCACGTGGGTGGGTGAGAAGGAAACCACAAAGGCATCATTACGCGATTCTTTCTTCCTTTCTCCTTCCGCTCATTTTCAAGGCAGGAAAGCGAAATGTTGGACTCGAGAGAAAAGGCAGCAGCAGGTCGGCTTCTACTTTGCAACAATCCTGAGGAGAAACAGGCCCTCAATTACTCAGTGGAGAATGGAAACCACTGAGCTGAAGCACACAGTGCTGCGTTTTAAAGAAACGCCGGCGTGTGGTTATTATGCTCAAATAAAGCTTGTCAAACCCCAGGAGGAAAACCAGAACACAACACCTGACTTGCTGTTCGGGGACAAACTGGCACAAAAAGAACACACGTCGTCAGTTGAGTCTTTGGACGTTCAAATGCGATTGAGGGTCATGTTCTAGCTGCGATGATCAGGTTACCTATCGACCCAGGTTTACTAGAAACCTGCGAAGGGGCTTCAAAAAGCTCCTGGAAACGTGGAATTAAAAGATAAAGGAAGGCTCTCGTGACTTTTTGAAGCCACTTCATCCTAAGAGCTAGAGAGATGGAAATGGCCGGGTCATCAGGGAGTAATGGAGAAGCAACGATAGTAAATTCACATGATAAATATGATTGGACTGGTTAAAAGCTTGTCGTTTGATCTCCACTTGGATACACTTTGTGCTTGACCTGGTTTGTAATATTTCCTGGCTTTTCTTTTTTGTTTGTTTCTATG